AAGTAGATAAAATGGGTACCTGCCCCTAGGTGGCAGGGGGCACCCCTCCTCCTTACGAGGACGTGTGGCAGGAGCGGCGGCAGCAATGGCGGCGGTGACGGCGGCAGCGGAGTTGGCCCTGGCGACCCGGCGTGCGCGAGGCTGGATGGAGGCGGAGTCGTGGGGCTCGGTGGCGTGGCGACACGGTGGAGCCTGCGGGATGGAGCCAGAGCATCAGCTGGCATGTTGCCGAGCACCGGGTGAAGCCCACCGGAAGGAGCCTTCGCCGGGTGCCAGGAAGTGAAGCGCCGAAGACCTGCCAGGGACTGAACAACAAGCCGAGCCAGGAACTGAATAACAACTGAGCCCGCGGCCGGAGTGCTGGTAGGTTATCACCCCCCATACAAATAATGTGGCCCTAGTTAGGGATAAACAGCTGTGTAAACCGCTCAGAGACCCTCCGGGGTCAGAGCGGTATATAAGTTGAAAATTAAATAAAAATAAATAAATAAATTAAAGACTGACGACGGCTGCCAGGGTCCTTGGCTGCTGGTAGGGCCCACTGCTGAAGACTCCCTGCATCTCCTCTGATGCCAGCATTCATACCTTTCCACCGCCTTCTTGTGAGTGCTTTGTCACCTGTGCTCCCAGCTGCAGGGGCTTCCGAGTGCTGCTGGAGAAGGGCAGGTGGGTGGTGCAATAAACATCAGCATTCCCGGAGGCTCCGGCATGCCTCGTTGCACCCAGAACAAGCAGACAAAGGGTATGTATGCAGTCAGAGTGGGTGGCTGTGACTAAAGGTGGTGGGAGAGCTTGCGAGCGAGCAGAGTGAAGATGCACAAACGGGTGAGCAAGAAAGTGGGCCTAGAGAAGAAGAGACTGGATTTATACCCCCCCCCCCCCACTACCCGAAGGAGCCTCAGAGCACCTTACAGTCTCCTTTCCCTTCCTCCCACTACCCGAAGGAGTCTCAGAGCAGCTTACAGTCTCCTTTCCCTTCCTCCCCGCACAACAGAGACCCTGTGAGGTAGGTGGGGCTGAGAGAGCTCTCTCAAGAACTGCTCTTGACAGAACAGCTCTGAGGAAACTTGTGACTGACCCAAGGTCACACCAGCAGCTGCATGTGGAGGAGTGGGGAATCAAACCCGGTTCTCCCAGATTAGAGTCCACGCTCTTAACCACTACACCAAGCTGGCTCTCTACTAGTGGGTATCTCTTCCCAGGGCTGCCCCCCCCCAGACCTGGAACCGGCCCTGCACCGAGCTGCAAGCATATGACAGGAAGTCATGTAACATCACTCCCATGTGATAAGAAGTGGAGCCAGAGTTAAGGTCTCATCAGTTTCAAGGTCAGAAGCATGGGTAGCAGGCCAACAGAGCTGGGGTTAGGAAAGATAAACCGAGGAGGATGACCACATGATACAGACATTGTGCCCCAGAGGTGTACTCACTAGCATATAGGATGCAGGCACAACTTCACCGATAGAAGGGAAGCCGCTTCAAGCAGACAACCAGCATGCATTTGACATATCATTATAGTAGTGATATCATGCACCACCATATCTATCTATCTATCTATCTATCTATCTATCTATCTATCTATCTATCTATCTATCTATCTATCATATTTGAAAAACAGTGTCCAATAAAACATCAAAACTTCATTAACAAGCAGGCCCGTAGCTACGGTGGGGCTTTCGGGGGCTCTGCCCCTTTCTCAAAGGCCCCACAATAATTTCTCCTGTAAATGCCTTTTTTCAATCATTTTTTCTCTAAAGGCATGCACTCCTTTAAGAAGAGTGGGGCACTGTAATTGACTAATTCCCACACTGAGCAAGAGGGTTGGAGTAGGTGACCTCTAGGATCCCTTCTAACTCTGTGTCAAGAACCTGGTCTGCCTAAGTGTTAGCTTTCTTGACTACAGAGGTCATCACCTCCACCTGCCGGCTTGTTATCAGAATTGCTGCTTAGGCTGGCAGAAGTGATTAACTTGCAGCAGCTGAGAACATAAGAATATAAGAGAAGCCAATGTTGGATCAGGCCAATGGCCCATCCAGTCCCAAAAATACCAGGTGCCATCAGGAGGTTTGTTAAATACTGGGTTCCAGACGCATTGCAGTGAACAGCCCTACTTTATTAAGTGATTTCAGGAACAAGACTGAAACCTCAGAGCAACAACCCTGTTTAAATAGCATGCAAAACCCACACCCAAACACACCCAACTCCCAACGATAGGCTATTTACATAACATTGGTTCCTCATTGGTCACCTCCAGAGTCCTGGTGGGCTATTGTTTTAGAGCTCTAAGCTCAGCCAGTCTCTGGTTGATAGTCCTGGAATGTTCCATACCTAATACATAATTAGGTCCATCAGTGGGGCCAGGATACTAGAAGCTCTCCCACTGTCATATAAAGTGGTTGACAACTTGAAAGTTTAGAGATCTATCCTGGTAACAGCTTCCTATTGGTTAAATGGCTTTTCTTTCTGCACTGAGAACTTCAGACCCACCAGAAAATATTTGCCCCACAAGCCACAAAATTGCTACAAGCCCGTCAAGCAGAACTTTGTAACAAGACCAATGGGAGGAAAGCTGCAAATAAGAACCGCAGACACATTGTAGAAACTGTCCAGTAACTTCAAACACAATAACACATATGCAGGATTGCAATGGTGTAATGAAGAATATGGAGGGTGTGTGGCTAAGTGGTGGAGTGCTGTCTTCGCATTCAGAAGGTCCCTAGTTCAGTCTCCGGCATCTCCAGTTAAAGACTCTGGCAGCAGATGATGTGAAAGGCCCCTTTTAAACATCCTGGAGTGCAGCTGCCAGTCCGATAAGATTGGCTTTGATAGCCCTGTGGTCAGGCTCCGGATAAAGCAGCATCCTGTGAACTTGTGAAGCAGCCAGCCTGTTAGAAAATGCAATGCCTTTCTCAGGCCTAAAGATTAATTGACCCTAGAGATTAATTAATTAATTAGGTAATGTATGTTCATAAGGATGAAATGTAAGGTATAGAGTAAGACTGACGGAATAGAGATTTAAAAAGTGAAAAAATAGAGTATATATAATAAGGAATTTTTATGTAATAAAGGAAGTCGTGTTCGACGATTGTAATAGACAGGGCTTTTTTTGTAGAAAAAGCCCAGCAGGAACACATTAGCATAATAGGCCACGCCCAACAGCAGGAACCCATTAGCATATTAGGCCACACCCATGACAGCACAGCTCATTCGCATATTAGGCCACACCCCCATGTTACCAGAAGTGTGCTCATCCAGCCACACCCACCTTTTGCTTCTTATTCTGTTGACCTTGTTTGTTGTCAAAACCCAGGGCCTTTTTTGTAGCAGGAACTCCTTTGCATGTTAGGCCACACACCCCTAATGTAGCCAATCCTAATGAGTTCCTGCTGCTGGGTGTGACCTATTATGCTAATGAGTTCCTGCTGGGCGTGGCCAACTTGGGAGCCAGCTGGAACTCCGTTCCTGTGCGTTCCTACCCAAAAATAGCCCTGGAATAGATAGGAAAGGCGTGGTTAGTTATAATATAATAGATAGGATAGTTGAGGATGAACGATGGCCTATTTATTTATTTATCCTTATGTTTGTGTAAATGAAATATTATTGTTTATGTGTAAATGTAGCAATATATTGTGTATATATATATGTGTGTGTGTGTGTGTATTGTTTGTTTTCTTTTGTTAGTAAAAATGAAATATATACATATACATATACATATACATACATATACACATATACATATACACATACATACATATACATATACATATACATATACATATATACATATACATATACATAAACATTTTCCACAAAGTAGCAAACATAGAAAACCGTTATGACCTGTTTCAGACTGGATTCTTCTTGCATGGAGATTATACTTCATACTTTGCACACTGGACAATTAGTCCCGGGGTTCCATGTTGAGTTGGTGGTGGAAAAAGGGCCATCAATTCACAACCAACTTATGGTGGCACCGTAAGGTTTTCAAGGCCAGAGATGAACAGAGGAGGCTGCCTCTGCACGGCAACCCTGGACCTCCTTGGTGGTCTCCCATCCAAATACTGACCCTGCTTAGCTGAGATCTGACGAGAATGGGCCATCCAGGTCAGGATATATGAGTCCATACTGTGGGGGAGGAAAATCACAACCAGGAAAAAATGTGATGATGAAGAAGAAGAAGAGGAGGAGGAGGATATTGGATTTATACCCCACCCTTCCCTACCCGAAGGCGTCTCAAAGCGGTTTAAAATCTCCTTTCTCTTCCCCTCTTCACAGCAGACGCCCTGTGAGGTAGGTGGGGCTGGGAGAGCTCTTTCAAGAAGTGCTCTTGAGACAACAGCTCTGAGAGAGCTTGTGACTGACCCAAGGTCGCTCCAGCAGCTGCATGTGGAGGAGAGGGGAATCAAATCCGGTTCTCCCAGATTAGGGTCTGCACTCCTAACCACTACACCACACTGGCTGTAGGAACTGTCTTTCTTTGTACAAGCAACCCGGGGCAACCTCTTCAAAGAGGCGGCAGATACTTGCCCCCCTCCCAAGTCGTCTTCATCTACAAGTTGCTTTGGTTGATGTTTGGGTGCCCTTCGTCATTAGCGCTGGTATCGTCCTCAGGTACGACGGAAACGTCCACAAAAGCTTTCTTCAGTAAAGCAAGAACGGACGTCTTGCAGACTTGCTGGAACGTCTCCCCGACAAAGAGGTAGAGAACGGGGGTGACCCAGAAATTGAAACACATGATGATGATAAAAACTACACGCAGAGAGAGTCGCAAACTGCTGGGGGCTTCCTGAAACAGCAGCGAAGCGTGGTAGAGATGGTAGGGAAGCCAGCAGACGAAGAAGGAGGCCACGGCAGCTGCCAGGACTCTGATAGGCTTCCTATTCCTCGCCAACTTTTTCCTCTTCATTTCCCAGCCCATCCCACAGTAGAAGCCCATGATGGCGCAGAAGGGGATCAAGAAGGCCAGCAGGAACCGGACCAAAAAGATAGTTAAGTGGATGCGATCCCTCAGGGCTTCCATTCTAGGATCATCCCAGTCACTGGAGAGAGCATAATTGTTGACACAAACCATCCTGCCGTTCTCTACTACTCGAGTCTCCCGGAATGCTAGGTAGGGAGCGCTCAGGGTGAGGGAAGCAAGCCACACTCCTACGATCACCCTCCGTGCCCGGGAAACGGTGCGGTTACACTGTGACCAGACAGGGTGGCGGATGAGGAGGTAACGGTCCAAGCTGATGATGGTGAGGAGCAAGACAGTGGTGAACAACCCCAGCGAACCGAAGAAGTTGATGGCTTTGCACATCGTTATGCCAAAGACCCAACGGTAGCCGAGGAGGATGTAGACAGCGAGGAAGGGCATGTAGGAAGAAGAGGTGACATACGTGAGAATCAGGTGGAAGAACCACAGGGTGTTCACTGTTCTCTTCATCTTCATCCCCAGCACCCACAGGAAGAGCCCGTTGATCAATGTCCCCACCAGGAAGGACACCAAGACAAAGATGGCAACAGCTAGGTTCAAGGGACTTATGTCCACCGGGGAATGACTGGTTCTTATGACTGCGGTTGAGTCATTCTTCCCTGAGAGGACAGTCCTGTTGGCTTCCTCCATAAGGTTCTAGAGGAAGATAAGAGAGAGAGTTGAGACTAGTGCGTATGTTGTGTCAGAGCAGGAGTCATTTCCTGCAGGAGCGCACAGGAGCGGAGCTCCGGCAGTAAGGAGCCCAGGGGGCGGGCACATGCAACAAGCCCCGCCCCCTGCTCCCAGCAGCCCTCAGTCAGGCCACAAAGAGTAAGAAGTAGCCAGGTAAGTTGCAGAGCCCCCCCCCCCGGCCCGCCTTCAGGTACAAGTTCTCCCTCCTCTGTGAGGACAGATCTGCACGTCCC